TGCTGCGGCCATGACCTGTCACTAAAGACGCGTAGAACTTGATGTTTGTGAAGTCCGAAGCTAGAAGTGCCATCTCCTCAGCCAGTCCCCTTTCGGTTTCGTCGCGAAGAACACCCGCAGTGGCAGATGCACCAAAATTGCTATACCAATGCCCTGCACAATTAAGCTTGAAATGAGACTGTGCGAGAAAACTGGCGTGTGGTGATGTAAAATGCAAACCACCCTCGCCAAACCCCGTTTCTCTCAACAATTCGATGGAGCTCCTCACCAGAACATCAAGGCAATCATTCTTCAGAACAGCCAGGAAAACAGCTTGGTCCTTCGTCCATGGTCCCCGCTTAGTGTTCCTTTGCCCTGGCAGAGCGTATAGTTTGCAGAGCTGCAATCAAATTCTGGAGTATCGCATAAAATATGCACGGTACAATCGCAAAGCACACTGTGGCAGAAAACTACGGACGAAATACTTGCGATCTCTTGAAGCCCCGTTAATGTGCTCCGAATTCAAGGGTAAATATTTAAGAGTTGGAAAAAAAATCTGTTTTAAAGGCACTTTCGTTTACAGCGTTTACAGTTTGTGTCTGTAATTTTCAGTCAAACACTTGCACAATGACTGAAGTTAGCTTGAGCAGCTATATTTGCTTATATTTAGCGAGCGCATTATTCATAGAAGTCGCATATACTAAAGGTATGTCCCGTTGAAAACTGCGAGATGTGTATACTGGTGGCGCTGCTGTTTACCTACATGGCAATGTGGCTCCCTTGGCCAGTAATCGAACCCATGTCCTCTAACTTAGTAGCGCTATGCAACACCTTAGCTTCTCAGTTACTGTGATGCGTACCAGCCGTGAAGATACCGTACGTACAGCACTCTCAGATTGGAAAGAAAAGTGCACGTTACTTGCATTAAGTTGTCCTGTTTCACAGTCGTCAGCGCGGGTAACAACGCAATTTTGACTCGAATGCGTACAGCACAGCCAACACCATCTTTAGAGATCAGATTTGTCACGACCTGACGTGGTTGTTTGAAGCAATTGTGCACACCAGTCGTATTGAAAACTTCTCATTCAAATCCGCGAGTACTGTACAGACGCGGCCACTGTTAACGGGAACGCTTACACGCAGATCATGTCCCGATTTAATTTTCTTGCATAGAAAGATCACAGCATATCCGCGGAGTGAATTATCAGTGGGGCGAAGCATCCGTCAGCCCGTCCGTTGCTGTTGCTACCGTCGATCCGTCCGCGAGTCCATCCATCCGTCCTCGTAGTGAACACTCCTAGTACTGCTATCCCGCACCCCTGTGGCACATACCCACTCCGCGCATCGATCCACCCATCCGTCCGTCCGCCTGCTAGTATGTGCCCGCCCGTCCATGCGTCCATTTAGTGAACACTTCAAGTACCCGCCATCTCCCAAGTCGCATCCCCTGAGGCACATATGCGCTCTATAGCGGACACGTGCCACCAGTGGCTACATACATCGGAGGATGTACAGGCCCACGCCTTAAGTAGATTCACCCCTAAAACAAGGTTTTAGATTGGCATAAGGCTACTGGTGGTTGCCAGCTCAGACTCTTTCCGACGAAATAGTAAAGCGCACATCGCATAGTAAGCGCACAATAGTAAAGCGCCCGATCCTCTTGCAGTTAAGGGGCCAGTAATAGGAAAGGTGCTCATTTCGAGCATTTTTTTATCTTTTAACAGTGAACGGGTCTTTGCATGCATTGCAGCAAGCGTACAACTTGCACTTACATGAGAGATCATGTGGGAGGCATCACTTGAACCCGGAAAGACGCCGAATCAACTTTCGCCACGCGTGAAAGTTGACAGGCTGAAATGACACAGGAATAGCTCGTTACTTCCTATACAGTTCACGTGGCAAGAGAATTTTCAACTTACGCGAGCCGGTGTTGAGCGGCATGGGGCAAGGAGTCATGTGCAATGACACAGGTGCCCTGCGACATTGTGCATGACTTGTGCAAGACGCAGTGTTCTTCATACGCCTCATTCACGCGAGGGAATGAAACCATGAAGAACACCGAATTGTGCAACCTGCAAAAAAAATGGAATGCTCATTAAAAGACCGAAGCGCACACAAGAGGCACGATACAAGTGACGCTTTCGTGCATTGCACCAAGCGTAGGGCTTATAGAGGAGACCCACGCCGAGGGAGGCGCTGCGGAGCGTGGCGCTGTCAGTCAATGTGGGGAAAAAACTGGTTACTCGAGTGTTGGCCTCTCCGCTGTCCCATTCAACCTGCTTGAAAACGCGTTGCTTTGCTCGCACGCTGCACGCGTTCTGCACGCGTTCTGCACGCGTTCTGCACGCGTTTTTGAGAGTCGCGTCACGCGCCGTTATGATGTATGCGCTCTGTACGCATTTAATAGGATGCCGCTGAATTTTTTTTTTTTCGTGGCAGCAATTTGGTAAAAGGGCAGCGAAGCAAGTTGTAGCAGACGACGCCGTCCTCGTCAGAGCGAAGTGCGTTTCGCAAGTGAAAGACAACGCTGTTTACGACGTTAGAGGTGAATGAAACTTTCTGTACGTTCATAATTATATACCTGTTTTATTTGGTTTACTCTGTACTATGCACTATGTTTGTTACTGGATGCATGGGTAAGGCCGCTTCTCGTGCTTTAGGTTAAACGGTTCTTGCACTGTGACTGCTATTAGTTGGGATACCTTAATTTACTAGCACCCACCCAAGTTATCGGGCGGTATATACACAGCACTTCAAAACTAAATGGTCTACTTGGGGCTTCTTTCTGACCCACAACGAAAATTTACATCTATCTTGCGTGTCTTTCCTTGTATTATCACCGTTCTCATCGCGGGTACCTTGAGTTCACGAACAGCGTGCGTACCATCATGATGAGCGCCCAGCTTTCAGAGAAATTTTTGTGCGTGTCTAATCTGCAAGGGAAGAGCGCATTGCTATAAATGCATTTTATCTTGGTCACGTATCAAAAATGCACCGTGTTGTTCTAACCCCGCACGCTCAGTAACATCTAGTTCACTGTATCTGCCAACGGACGTGCAACAACGGCTAATTCATTTTTTTTTCTTTTTTTCATAGTTGTCCAAGCTTTTGCAACCACACACTTCCGTCGGCGCTGCGTAGATTTAAAAATTTATAACAACACATTACCAATACCACATGTGCACACAGCTTCAACTACTACTAAGTCCCCAACAATATCGAATAATAGTAGCAGCATAAAACATTTCTTCGAGGAACGGTGACACAGGAATTAACACCCGTGATTTTCAATGCATTGTGCGCGTGCTAATATTTATGAAAAAAAAAATGTTTACATACTTATTTCGGCGCACTGCTTCAATCCATTTCTGTCGTCTGCTTGTTTGGTACCATCGGTTTGGGAATCGGTAGAATTTCACTGGGGGAGTCGACCTCTTCGTGTTTGCATAGTTATTGTGACAGTTGATGCAGCAATGTGACCCCCTTTTCTATTGAGGTGACATCGCGGAACGAGGGACGTTTCACGTGCAGCGCGTGCTTCGCAAATGCGTGGAAGCCAAAGGGAGGGGAAGGGTCGGAAGACTACTGTTGTGCGCTTTTTCTGGCCGGGGAAAGGCAAGCGCTGGCGTCGCCGGGCAAACTTGAGCGGGTCTCCCCTATACTTACGAGAGAAATGTGGGAGGCATCACTCGAACCCGGAAGGACGCCGAATCAACTTTCGCCAGGAGTGAAAGTTGACAGGCTGAAATGACACAGGAATAGCTCGTTACTTCCTACAGTTCACGTGGCAAGAGAGTTTTCAACTTACGCGAGCCGGTGTTGAGCGGCATCGGGCAAGAGTCATGTACAATGGCGCAGGTGTCTTGCGACATTGTGCATGACTTGGGCAAGACGCAGTGTTGTTCATACGCCTCATTCACGCGAGGGAATGAAACTATGAAGAACACCGAATCATGCAACCTGCAACAAATGGAGGGCTCATTAAAAGACCGAAGCGCACACAAGAGGCACGATATAAGTGACGCTTTAGTGCATTGCACCAAGCGTACGATTTGTACTTACAAGAGAGATCATGTGGGAGGCATCACTCGAACCCGGAAGGACGCCGAATCAACTTTCGCCAGGAGTGAAAGTTGACAGGCTGAAATGACACAGGAATAGCTCGTTACTTCCTACAGTTCGCGTGGCAAGAGAATTTTCAACTTACGCGAGCCGGTGTTGAGCGGCATCGGGCGAGGAGTCATGCACAAAGGCACAGGTGTCTTGCGACATTGTGCATGACTGTTGTGCAAGACGCGGTGTTCTTCATACGCCTCATTCACTCGAGGGAATGAAACTATGAAGAACACCGAATCGTGCAACCTGCAACAAATGGAGGGCTCATTAAAAGACCGAAGCGCACACAAGAGGCACGATATAAGTGACGCTTTAGTGCATTGCACCAAGCGTACGATTTGTACTTACAAGAGAGATCATGTGGGAGGCATCACTCGAACCCGGAAGGACGCCGAATCAACTTTCGCCAGGAGTGAAAGTTGACAGGCTGAAATGACACAGGAATAGCTCGTTACTTCCTACAGTTCGCGTGGCAAGAGAATTTTCAACTTACGCGAGCCGGTGTTGAGCGGCATCGGGCGAGGAGTCATGCACAAAGGCACAGGTGTCTTGCGACATTGTGCATGACTGTGTGCAAGACGCGGTGTTCTTCATACGCCTCATTCACTCGAGGGAATGAAACGAAACTATGAAGAACACCGAATCGTGCAACCTGCAACAAATGTAGGGCTCATTCAAAAGACCGAAGCGCACACAAGAGACACGATATAAGTGACGCTTTAGTGCATTGCACCAAGCGTACGATTTGTACTTACAAGAGAGATCATGTGGGAGGCATCACTCGAACCCGGAAGGACGCCGAATCAACTTCGCCAGGAGTGAAAGTTGACAGGCTGAAATGACACAGGAATAGCTCGTTACTTCCTACAGTTCGCGTGGCAAGAGAATTTTCAACTTACGCGAGCCGGTGTTGAGCGGCATCGGGCGAGGAGTCATGCACAAAGGCACAGGTGTCTTGCGACATTGTGCATGACTGTTGTGCAAGACGCGGTGTTCTTCATACGCCTCATTCACTCGAGGGAATGAAACTATGAAGAACACCGAATCATGCAACCTGCAAAAAATGTAGTGCTCATCAAAAGACCGAAGCGCACACAAGAGACACGATATAAGTGACGCTTTAGTGCATTGCACCAAGCGTACGATTTGTACTTACAAGAGAGATCATGTGGGAGGCATCACTCGAACCCGGAAGGACGCCGAATCAACTTTCGCCAGGAGTGAAAGTTGACAGGCTGAAATGACACAGGAATAGCTCGTTACTTCCTACAGTTCGCGTGGCAAGAGAATTTTCAACTTACGCGAGCCGGTGTTGAGCGGCATCGGGCGAGGAGTCATGCACAATGGCGCAGGTGTCTTGCGACATTGTGCATGACTGTTGTGCAAGACGCGGTGTTCTTCATACGCCTCATTCACTCGAGGGAATGAAACTATGAAGAACACCGAATCATGCAACCTGCAAAAAATGTAGTGCTCATCAAAAGACCGAAGCGCACACAAGAGACACGATATAAGTGACGCTTTAGTGCATTGCACCAAGCGTACGATTTGTACTTACAAGAGAGATCATGTGGGAGGCATCACTCGAACCCGGAAGGACGCCGAATCAACTTTCGCCAGGAGTGAAAGTTGACAGGCTGAAATGACACAGGAATAGCTCGTTACTTCCTACAGTTCGCGTGGCAAGAGAATTTTCAACTTACGCGAGCCGGTGTTGAGCGGCATCGGGCGAGGAGTCATGCACAATGGCGCAGGTGTCTTGCGACATTGTGCATGACTGTTGTGCAAGACGCGGTGTTCTTCATACGCCTCATTCACTCGAGGGAATGAAACTATGAAGAACACCGAATCATGCAACCTGCAAAAAATGTAGTGCTCATCAAAAGACCGAAGCGCACACAAGAGACACGATATAAGTGACGCTTTAGTGCATTGCACCAAGCGTACGATTTGTACTTACAAGAGAGATCATGTGGGAGGCATCACTCGAACCCGGAAGGACGCCGAATCAACTTTCGCCAGGAGTGAAAGTTGACAGGCTGAAATGACACAGGAATAGCTCGTTACTTCCTACAGTTCGCGTGGCAAGAGAATTTTCAACTTACGCGAGCCGGTGTTGAGCGGCATCGGGCGAGGAGTCATGCACAAAGGCACAGGTGTCTTGCGACATTGTGCATGACTTGGGCAAGACGCAGTGTTCTTCATACGCCTCATTCACTCGAGGGAATGAAACTATGAAGAACACCGAATCATGCAACCTGCAAAAAATGTAGTGCTCATCAAAAGACCGAAGCGCACACAAGAGACACGATATAAGTGACGCTTTAGTGCATTGCACCAAGCGTACGATTTGTACTTACAAGAGAGATCATGTGGGAGGCATCACTCGAACCCGGAAGGACGCCGAATCAACTTTCGCCAGGAGTGAAAGTTGACAGGCTGAAATGACACAGGAATAGCTCGTTACTTCCTACAGTTCGCGTGGCAAGAGAATTTTCAACTTACGCGAGCCGGTGTTGAGCGGCATCGGGCGAGGAGTCATGCACAAAGGCACAGGTGTCTTGCGACATTGTGCATGACTGTTGTGCAAGACGCGGTGTTCTTCATACGCCTCATTCACTCGAGGGAATGAAACTATGAAGAACACCGAATCATGCAACCTGCAAAAAATGTAGTGCTCATCAAAAGACCGAAGCGCACACAAGAGACACGATATAAGTGACGCTTTAGTGCATTGCACCAAGCGTACGATTTGTACTTACAAGAGAGATCATGTGGGAGGCATCACTCGAACCCGGAAGGACGCCGAATCAACTTTCGCCAGGAGTGAAAGTTGACAGGCTGAAATGACACAGGAATAGCTCGTTACTTCCTACAGTTCGCGTGGCAAGAGAATTTTCAACTTACGCGAGCCGGTGTTGAGCGGCATCGGGCGAGGAGTCATGCACAATGGCGCAGGTGTCTTTCGACATTGTGCATGACTTGGGCAAGACGCAGTGTTCTTCATACGCCTCATTCACTCGAGGGAATGAAACTATGAAGAACACCGAATCATGCAACCTGCAAAAAATGTAGTGCTCATCAAAAGACCGAAGCGCACACAAGAGACACGATATAAGTGACGCTTTAGTGCATTGCACCAAGCGTACGATTTGTACTTACAAGAGAGATCATGTGGGAGGCATCACTCGAACCCGGAAGGACGCCGAATCAACTTTCGCCAGGAGTGAAAGTTGACAGGCTGAAATGACACAGGAATAGCTCGTTACTTCCTACAGTTCGCGTGGCAAGAGAATTTTCAACTTACGCGAGCCGGTGTTGAGCGGCATCGGGCGAGGAGTCATGCACAATGGCGCAGGTGTCTTGCGACATTGTGCATGACTTGGGCAAGACGCAGTGTTCTTCATACGCCTCATTCACTCGAGGGAATGAAACTATGAAGAACACCGAATCATGCAACCTGCAAAAAATGTAGTGCTCATCAAAAGACCGAAGCGCACACAAGAGACACGATATAAGTGACGCTTTAGTGCATTGCACCAAGCGTACGATTTGTACTTACAAGAGAGATCATGTGGGAGGCATCACTCGAACCCGGAAGGACGCCGAATCAACTTTCGCCAGGAGTGAAAGTTGACAGGCTGAAATTACACAGGAATAGCTCGTTACTTCCTACAGTTCGCGTGGCAAGAGAATTTTCAACTTACGCGAGCCGGTGTTGAGCGGCATCGGGCAAGGAGTCATGCACAAAGGCACAGGTGTCTTGCGACATTGTGCATGACTGTTGTGCAAGACGCGGTGTTCTTCATACGCCTCATTCACTCGAGGGAAAGAAACTATGAAGAACACCGAATCATGCAACCTGCAACAAATGGAGGGCTCATTAAAAGACCGAAGCGCACAGGAGAGGCACGATATAAGTGACGTCTTAGTGCTGGTAAGACAGAACACTAAAGAAGACAGGACGCACATGTCCCATCTTTCTAGTATTATAGCGTCATTTATAGCAAAGAACCGAGTAGTCCCAAAATCTTGAAGCGTAATAGAGACTGAAAAGTGGTGCGGAGATCCGGATCAGGTCAGAGAATTTGACCAAGGTAGAGACTACGAGCGGCTACGTAAGAAAAACAAGCAAGTGTTTACTCTGCGTTGACACGAAAACTGAAAAGACGCGGGCTATAATAAAACTACCCGTAATCAACTGCGACACTGAGCATATAGTTATTTCCCATTACAAGGGTCAATTGAAGGAACCAAACTAAAAGCAAGCAATACTCGACGAAGGCCTCGTGCTTTCTACCAGTTGGGAGCAGCAGGGATTGCCAAGTTGCCAATTGTAGCGGTAAGAAAAAAAGTGAAAGACAACTAGGTTTAATTAGATAATTCTTCGAGGATTTACATCTGAAGAAGAAACTTGGCGAACACGAAACACGCCTTAGCGGAGGGCTCGGAAAATTCCAACCTTTAACGTGCTCTAAAAGATTTAATTTGACCCCGAGATCTTGGAATGAGATTTATCATTAACAAATTGACGCAAACTAAAATAAACACTACAGACGAGCACACAAGTAAGAAGAGTGAGAAGTGGAAACCATACCTAAATCATTGATCAAGGTATACGTCCATGATGTTCCAGTTGAAGTCGATGCAAACTCCGAAATAGAACAGGCCGATTCCGGGTGGCACGGTGGAATCAAGACAACCCTCATTTCGCGCCAGGAAATGAATTATCCGGGAATGGTGATCGGGAGTGCAATGGCATTACTGCCTAGGGTCCGCTAAGCAGTCATGGGAAAGACCCCCGACGTACCCCTGCAAAATCTTGTTAGTGGGTTCACCTGCTATTTTTTTTTTTTTTGATGCCGCTGTTGAAGCTCGCAGCAATGCTCATCCCTGTGGTGGTACTCGAGAAGGTTTTGGCGATGAAACACTTTGGACACGAGCTCCAAGTTGCTAGTCCCGGCAGCGGTAAGAGTTTTTAGAGCTGCAACGACATCAAAGTAATGGTTACTGAAGTTTCGAAAAGTGGAAAATATGATATCTTTACAAAGCGCGCTGTAGAGCGAGCCTAAATTTTTTTAAGAGGACAAAAAAATACTCAGCTATGCGCGAGTTGACAGACGCAGTAGCTGAATTTTAACAGGTTAGTCGTGAAAGGGTGGGTGTGCAAACACCGAGACCGAAGAACACAAATGCGGTTCATATTGCCTACCACTCTTGTGCTGGCGATTGCAGGCTCGCCATAAAGGATGAATTCTCGCCCATTTAAATTGTGAATGCTTTCTGAACACATAAATGGAGAGTACCACGGAAATGACCGCAATAGAAGTATGGGCAATGAAATTGGCAACCAGCTAGAGTTGGTAGGGACATACAAGCACGTGCATAGAATATTTCACGGCCTTTTTCTTTTAGGAAGGTGGGGGGCAAAAGTTGTGAACATCTGCAGAAACTGCATGTTACGTCCAAGCTCACCGGCTGGCTTACTACTGACTTAAAGATTCAATCAAGTAGAAAAAAAGAATCGGAAGCGTACGAAGTAAAATAGCACTGGTTGCAAGCACGCACAGCTACAGTTAACATGCCAATAGTATAGTTATCTTTAAAAATTATTGAAAAATCAAGGTGGAAGCACCGGTACGGTAATGCTAAATGCATCTCTACCAGAGAAACAAAATCAGAAAAGTGAAGTGCTATGGCAATGTCTTGAAGGTAATTATGCTAACTATATCTGTTAATTATACTAACGCACAGCTCAATGATGCATTTGGGTACCAATGTACAATCGAGCCCAATAAGAGATGAAACTCGTTGCCCATGGCAAGCTGGCACCGATAAAGCATTGCAAGCAGTTAACTTTAGATTACTGGCATTTTATAAACCAATGTATACTGTCTGCCAGTTTCGATGAAGCTGTGGGTGCCTTGAAGGAAGACCACTGAGTAGCAACTCGTTTAGCGCGACTACATAGAAGTATGAACGACCCATACAGTATCAGAACACCGAGAATTGAAATTGCAAGGCTTCCACGCTTATAACACGCCTTCATTTTTAAAGACTTGGAGAACCTATTTCATGGTGACCCTACTACTCCAAAAACGCAACCAAATTGCAAACGAGGAGAGGGACCGACGAGAAGAGCGAATCACCTGTTCAATGCGCTTATAATTTAAGTGTTCTAGAAAAAAATGGAAAGCTATATTAACCGCGAATGTTCAAGTAATTTACAATGTGCAGGCAATACTAGGGGCGAGACTAAGCGCACGTACCCGCAGCTGTTGCTGACAGCTGCTGACGCCGAAGCGTGACAAATACCGTTTACTTCAGCACTGATGAGAGCCAAGTGCAAAAGATGACTGAATACAAAGCGAGAAAGCGCTAAAGTAGAGGCAAAGAGCATGCATATACCGAGGCAAAAATGGAAGGCAGTATGGACAGAAATTAGAAGCCGTAAACCTAGAAGCATTTCAAGATTATGTGCCTACTCGTTCAAAAGAACGTCACAGAGGATGGGCTGCTGAGCACATGGAAAGCTTAGCCAAGTCATCCCCGGCATATCACCACTGCCACGCAATATGGAAGTAAAAATTTTGCTAAGGGGCAAAAGCGTGAGAATAAGAGGAACTCGTTTTGTTATATGCCACAGAATGCGATACAACAGAACGACAGATGCATCCAAGCAAGAAGGCGTGCGGATTGTGACAGGGATAATAGAAATCGCTGCAAACACTAATGGTCGCATTTACTAACCATTTCAGTTATCGAATTTTTGTGTGTTTGTATACTATTCTACGCTTGTTAAATGACAGTGAAATGGTAACAGGTATAAAAGGTAACTAAAATATCGATTAGTCAATACCAACCTACTTTGTTTATTAGGTACACTAATACCAAAACTGATCAGAAAATCACGAGCTAATAATAAGATTGACTTGAGAATACGAGCATAACAAAGAATTAGACCTGCGCAGGTGATGCCATCAGAAGGACATAACCAGTGGCACATGGTGTGTTGTGAATACAGCGCTCCTGGGGAGAAGTCAGTGAAATTATTGACTCGAGTCTCAACGTACATACTGATGCAAATGTTGTGCCGATTCATGGGTCTACGGTGGCCAAGTAAGAGCAAGATAAAGTAACACAGAGCGAAGCCCTAGTTTGTATATGTTAATTTGAAAAGACTACGCACAAAAACACCTACACAAGAATCAAATCACCAATGCTGATTGCAATACTGCCCAACAATAAACTTGTACATCTCTGTCTTTACTTTTTTTTTTTTTTTTGCTGCGTAAGACTGCAGCCAACCACGTCAGCGAGGGCACGGCTTTATTCGACGACTCCGCAAGTGAGCCACATCCTAACTACTATGTCAAGAGTATGGATTGCTTGCTCCAAATGCATACAACCTAAAACAAATCACTAATTTTGAATTTATGCTTTCGCTTACGTAAAAAGGAATGGTGACCAACTGCGTAAAATTACGATTAATCAATATACCTTAATAAGCAAAGCTAATGTCTTTCCTGAACTAATATCGAATGCCTTTAAAATTGTTCGACAGATTTGGTATTTCAAGGCAGTTGGTTAGAATTCGTGTGGGTATAGTGTTGAACAAAAACGCATCGAAACAAAAAGAAAACGGAAGGAAACCTTAAAGGCTCCTTTTCGTTAAGCGCAACCACGGCCGGGCTAAGCTGCACCTAGGTGCAGTATATAGCCCGGCTGTGGCACAACATTAGAACCGACAAGAGACATGGGAAGCATAGGGGATGTTATTTATATTAGTTATATGTCAATCTGGAGAAAGTGGACGAAAATAGCTTGCCGCCGGAAGGAATCTAACACGCGGCCATATGTGTCCGATGTTCCACCAAATGACCTACAGCGGGAATCACCCTCTCGTCCACTTGATGTAATAGATGTATGCAGATAAACGTGGGGGCATTAATCAGTGCCGCAGATAGCTTAGACGCAGCTGTTGAAAACTTTCTGCCTGCGGGCATCACGCAGCACGCGCGATGTTAACGAACTGGTAGCTGACAAATTATCGTATACCACCATAAGACATGCAGTCTACCAAAACGGGACCCTTGTTATGAACAAAAGTAAAAGCTGATGGGTTCCGTTTTTCATGTTAAGCACAACACGAATTGGAACAAACTAGTTAGAATCGCTTTAACAGCAACACGTATCTAAAGAGCCATAACTTTAGAGGAAGAGTTGTCATTTCAGAGCCAGGTGCCGACATTACTGTTAGCACAGATGTACACAACACTGTAGAAAAACTCACTTTGACATATGAAAACCCCGTCGAATGTAAACATTGCACAATAGTACACCGATTACAGCATACTCGACTACGGCCTTTGGTATGTCACCTAAGCTGTGCACCTGCTGACGCCAAGTTAACAACGCTTATTTTCGAAGTATGGTAGACCAGCATAAAGAAAGCGAGCAAGGAAACGCATATTAAATATTAGGCGCGCTTCAGTTAGAAACTAGATACCGCGCGCCGCACGCGGATGCAAAGCAATAAGCGGCACCCAGAAACCGAAATGCTATTAAGAAAATACACGCGTCCAACATGGCCGCGGCAATCGCAGAGCCCAAGTTTTCGGATCCGAGCTTAACGCAACGAGTAAGACGCCAAGTCACTATACGGTGCATGGTATATCCCTCTTTGAACACCCCTACACATTCGGACCCTTCAGAGGACGACGGCTGCGATTGACAAAGCTTGAAGCTAAGTGGCCCATCGCGCGCTGTTTAACGCACGAAAATACAAGAGTCCTGCTTACTCGATGCAATGTCAGTAGCACGTCCACCTTGAAGACGCCGTCGGTGATAACGTCAAACATACGCAGAAGTATGTACGCACACTACGTCAGCGCTCCTGGAACGAAAGCAACACTTCTTAGGAGATGAAAGCAAACGTAAAAAAATAAATGTGGTCTCACGAATAATGCTTGAGCACGAGGGCACGGATGGCCTCTAGCAGCCAAGTTCAAGCTGCAAAACAAAGAGGGCAAGGCGTTAGCATGTGCAAACGGATCACGTGAACCGCGAGAAACCTCGAAGCTAGAATGGGCGAGTAAACCAACATGAGTGACCTTTAAAGAAAGAAGAAACCCACCTGCGCTCCACCCGTAGCAGGTTCTTGACGTGACATGTTGTGCAGACTTGAAGCTCAGGCGTTGCCATTTTTATGACGTGCTGGGACAAGCCGGGGTTAAGCACCGGGATGCCGCGTTACGCGCCGGCAGCAATACTGGCACGAAATGAAGGTGAACTGCCGTCTGCAGAATGCGCAGCGTGCCCGGCAGCCAATGAAAAATGAAGGCGGGCAGCCCGCGCGTAACGTTATTTAACGGCGATTCTCCGATATCCGCGCATGCGCTGTTGCAGCCACATCTTGTCGCGCCATTACGTGACGGGATCGTTCTTTGCCGTCTTATCAGCGATATCTGCTAGCGGCGTGATGCGGAGAGAAGAAATTGAAGAAAAAATTTACACACACAAAAATTGCAGGACATGGCTTACGCGGCACATGATCTTCGGGCTCAGAAAGCGACGGAAGCCCCTGCACAGCAGAGCTGAAGCAGTTCGATCGCTTCCATGCGGTCGCCTTTCCGCGTACACCCTGCACTCTTGAAATTCAACCCAATAACTGGAATGGCTTGCACTTATGTGAATAACTTGAGCCAATAATGAAGCTAGTTATATTTGCAGTCATTGCGTTAACTTTTGTCGCACCGCCATTTGTTCTTTTTTTTTATCCGTTGCAGCAAGGAACCAGGTATGCGTCCTCCTCCTTGTGGTGCATGGCTACCGTGTTCTGCTGGTGTCTCGAAGGTCGGGCGTTCGATCCCGGCCGTGACGGTGGCATTAAGAAGCCAGAGCGCGTTAAACACCACATTTCTGTGGCCGTAAAGCACGGCGTGCCTGCCAATCATATGGGGGTTTTGGCCCATGAAACGAAATATAATTATATCATGTTTTAAATCTCTCCTCAAGGGTCCAAAAAAACGATATTGCACACGGGATACACAAAAGAAAAAAAAAAGGCGAAGGTACCATTCCACAAGCAGCATGGGTTGTAATGGCTCTTAAAAGCATGCTCTAAACTGGTTGCGATTTGGTTACGAGGCCACGACCGCTGGTTACAAAGCGGCCCTGACATAACGATCCGGGCGAGAAGGTTGATGCATGTCTTGTGCCGAGTTTCAAAACAGATAAATAAAGGATTATCTGGTAAGTCTAAAATTGCGCAATCGGATACCATAGATATACGCATAAGTGGACAACGGCGTCATGTTAGATGGGATGACGCTGAGTTGGAAAATAACTGCAAGGAGGCCGATCTTGAGCTGCAGCAAGGTGGCAAGTTGGGCTAATTGGATTACGTTCATAATTGAAAATTTTGTTGAAGCGCACTGACAAGGACTGTCCTTGTCAGCCTCTTCTGTCCGTGCGCTTCAACAAAATTTTCAATTATGATCTTGAGCTCCCACGCTGGCGCCAGGAGGCCGAGCATGGCGACGGCTTTGTGGGATGGGTGTACTCTCCAAAGCCAGGTCGGGACTGCGACTGCGATAGGCTTGCGAGGGGGGCAGAACGGGGGCGGTGGAGGGAGGTGTCATCTAAAAGGAGGCTGGGGCGCAAAATCTGTGACTTAATATAGGGAGAGGGGATGCTGCGATGAACCATAGCTCACCCCACTCCTCCCCGATAAGGAATCCTACGCACGCCTATGTGAACTGCCAACTGCATCCATCCAACTGGGTTAATGCAGTTACTGCTCAAGCACCTCACCTCGCTCACGTGTTCTAGTAAACTGTAAATTGAAGTATCCCACATTTTGTGTAAACACGGTTACTGAGGCAAGCGCGATGGCGCACACTTCTCTCTTGCTTTAGCACCGAAAGTATGCGGCCTAGATGTAAGGTCCTTTCGTTTCACCTGCACTTCGTGAACTGGTTCACGGAGGCGCTGCACTTTGGCATTTGTTTCACGAGTTCAACATGGCGGCAGCGGCACAGCAGTATTCGTTTCGAAAAAGTGCAGCTGTCGTGCAAGGCCAGTTCACGAATTCCCCGCACTTGCTCGTGAGGTGGTGTCGAGTCCGTGCAGCACAAGATGGCTACAGCTACAGCAGACGACGCAGCCGATTGCATTCGTGTCTGTTTTAGCGACGTGCAACAAGTATGACAGTGAAAATTTTCCGGCAGACTCATGCCAAGCGACGTAAGCAGCGCCGTTTTTTACGAACCACAGCCTCCGCAACCCTCGAGACAGCCGGCGAGTAGCATATATGGCTTGCACGACATTTCATTTCATTCATTTCATTTATTTACTCTCAATGCCGTAAGGCGTTACAGAGAGGAGGGGTACAATATTAAACAATCAAGAGAAAAGACAACAGCGGGGTGGTTACAAAAAGTGATTGCTGACAGTGGACCTGAAGTGCGCAGCGTCGCTGATGGAGACGATGGAGGCTGGAAGGTGATTCCACTGCACGCTGGTCGTTGGGACAAACGAGTTCAGGTAGAGGTTTGTTCGGGAGTTTGGCACACCAACATTTAACGGATGATCAATGCGGGATGACACGTATGATGGAACTGAAAAAAAGGATTGTTTTATTTTATTTTTTTTTAAATAAGAGAGTACATATGTATTCTCTTATTCGTTTCTGCGTCTCGTCGCTGCTGCACTTGCTGAAACGTCGCCTGCACAAAGACAGCACCCAGACGGCACCACCGTGAACTAGTTCTGGAAGTACAGGATGAATCGAATGGACTGTAACGTTTTGATCTGTGTGGACTGCCGCGCACGATTCATGGCAACACCTCGCCCTATTTTTCAGAGCGGTATCGAGGGGCCGAAGGCGGATAATGCTCTAAATTGAAGTACTTGTGTTTGATAGCATACGGGGTCACTTCTGCCCGTTTATTAGTAACGAACGTTGCCTATAAGATATTTTAAATTGGTTTTAAAGCGAAGGTGCTTGCTCGATCATCCCGAGTATCCAGGCCCAACCGACATTTTCCATGATCTGACGCAGACAAGGGACACCTAGTGACGTTTCAGAGGTCGAGAAAGTATTTTCGGCGTCAGAGAACATTTGCGGGGCACGCACAATACCCCGACTGACACCTAGATAAGACTATTGTTCGTCACTCCTCTTGCTCTGTTGTCGGACTGCTCTTGAAGGGACACTAAAGGCAACTATTAAGTTGGTGTTGATTGAAGAAATAGTGGTCCAGAAGCTTCATTTTGTTACTTTTGTGCTAAGGATGTGCTTATTTCAAAATAAAATGATCCGCATCGGGTTTGCGCACTTCAAATTACCCGCCTCCAGCGGAATGTGTCACGTCACTGTTGCTGTGTGCAACGCTGCCCGGCTTTGCTGCGCGGCCCCCGACAAAGCAGCAGAACGAAAATAGTGGGAGCCACAGCAACAACAGCTATTGAACAATTTCCTTCCATGGCCTGCGAGATGGTTGACATGCTTGTTTCAACTGGGTCCTGCTAGATAGCACGACCTGTCCAGTTTAACCATGTGAGTGAGTAGGAACAACTTTATTATGGTCCAGTGCAGACGCTAAGGTTGCCACGCGTCACCCGGGCTTGATCAAGCCGGGCTTGATATTTCGCCTCGCGTACGCTACGTCACCACGCGTAAAGCGGCGCCAACCAACCAGAGGCCGCGATGACTCCGAAGTCGGCCCAAGCGACCCGCACTCCCAGAGCACGTGTGCTAACGTAGCAGTCTGCCCGCAAGCGACGCAGGCGGCATCGGGGAATTTGTGAGGTTAAATTGCATTTAGGTGTGCTAACGACGGGTACGAATGGGTTTGAAGTAAGCACAACGAGACGGCCTGTGGTCTATTGAGTTTTGAATGTGGCATTGGGAATGCCCGCCTCGCCATGTAGTAATACTTCGTAATCTCGTTGTGTGTAGTAGGTGTGTCTTTATGTCCCACGTCGTCGGCACTGGAGCCGTCGCCCAGGTCGAGAGCAGCGCGGTCAGTGAGCGCGCGCGCTGCTGAGTGGGCCGACTCGGTCGGGTTCAGTGCAACGCCGTTTACGGAGCCGACATGCGCGGGGAACCAATGTATGGTGTGAGGGACAATCGTATCGCTGGTGGACCTGTTCAAGATCCTGGCTGCCTGTGTTGATATGCGGCCCTTTTGAAAGGCTCTGACTGCGGATTTGGAGTCGCTGTACACCTCTTCTCACTGACCATTCAACACAGCGAGTGCGATGGCCACTAGTTCGGCCACCTGGGGGTTCGTTGTGCGTACCGTGGCGCGGTTCGTAGTCGAGCCCGTCTCGCCCACGACCACCGCTGCGAACTTCTTGCCGTCTCGATATGCTGCAGAGTCAACAAAACTTGAATTTACGCCACCTTTTCCCTGCTTCAGTAGAGCCATCGCCCTTGCCCGACGACGTAGTACCTCATAGTGTACAGGGTGAGTGTTGCGTGGTATAGGGGCAACAATGACTTTTTCCTGTATATGTTTTGATATACGCACGTTATTTGTTTCCAGCTCCATTGGGTTAAAACCTAGCTCGCCAAGTATGCGCCGACCAGCCGTCGTAGTGGACAAGCGAGCCAGCTAAGAGCGTTGCTGCGCTTCCGCTATCTCGACCGCAGAGTTGTGCACACCGAGCGCGAGCAAGTTCCCGGTGTGTGTGCGTACGGGAAGCCCCAGCGCTTTCTTGTTGATATTTCGGATAATCACGTCGAGCTTGTCCCACTCCGACCTAAGCCAGTTGTGCATGGCAATGGTGTAGGTAAAGTGGCAGAGCACAGACGCATTGATGAGCTTTAACAACGCTTTTAGACTCGTCGAAAGAATCTCCGGGAGACATAGAAACCATGTGAATCAAAATTGAACTTTTGAACCACTCGCGTCATTCCCCATAGTAACGTCCGGTGGTTATTTTAAATGCGAAGTATTCCTTAGCGAACTTCGGCGACTTTCAGCGTATCTATCTATCTATCTATCTATCTATCTATCTATCTATCTATCTATCTATCTATCTATCTATCTATCTATCTATCTATCTATCTATCTATCTATCTATCTATCTATCTATCTATCTATCTATCTATCTATCTATCCGATTACGTTTGGGTGCTCTCGTGGTCACCCCCTTAACTTGGCGTGAACCAAAATTAGCATGGTAGGGTAAGATGATATGACGAATATGACG